GGGGGGGAGGGAAAAGAAGGGAGGTGGAGGTGATGAGGGAGGGAGCGAGCGAAAGATGGAGAAGAGAATGGGAAAAGAGGGGAGAGGAGAAAGGAAAGGGGAGGGGAACCTGCGTTGCGCTGGACGTCCACTGCTCCCCATAGTGGGGCATGATGTCACGGAGCATGTGAGAATTGTTGAGGGTGACCCAAGAGTTGTCTATCCCGACGATGCAGACTGAGGCGAGAGATCAGAGGCAGGAGGAGGAGGAGGAGGAGGAGGGGGAGGAGGAGGAGAAGAAGAAGAAGAAGGGATGAAAGAGGAACTCACCGACTTCCATCACGATGGCTCCCCATAGGCCAGGGAACAAGTGCAAGCTCGTGACTCCCTGTCGGGATGTCAGGATGTGCTAGGAAGCAGCAGGCAGAGTCTTTGCCTGCGTGTCCTGGTCCTCGATCAACGGCTGGATGAAGCGGAACGATAGGGTGGCTATCAGGGTCCCTCCTGTTGCAGGCGTTACATGCAACAGCCTCGGGGTCACGGGGGGCACCTGCTCCTACGATCATCATGAGAAGGGGAGGGATGAACATGCAGGCGGGGGTAGACGCCGCAACTCCCGCAGCCAGCACTCCGTCTTGAAGATGCATGACCGACGGGCCCTGAGGGAGACGATTGAGCTGCATGGTAGCGAGGAGAGGAGGGGAGGAAAACCTCGGGGTAGATGAAGTTGGCCCATATGAAGGAGAAGAAACATCCGGCAATGAGGGCCATGAACGTGTTGGTAGCCACGTACATCCTTCCCATCCTCTCAGTCCATGTTTGTGGGACGTGACAACGTGATTCACCTCAGCTCAGCAGGGGCCCAGAAGCAGTTGAACGACGGGTAGCTGCCATGGTCGGCTGTTAGCGACCAACGAGAGCGCGAGGGTCGAGCTCACGTTACAAACATGAAGAGAGAGCCTAGGATAGCGTAGTTGTTGCTCTGATACCTTCAAGCGCGCGCGTCATTGGATTCTTTACCCTGCTGTGGGAATTCAAGTCACCTTGGCGCGTTATCAGGATTCTCGTGCGGCCTGTGGCCTGAGACAAGCACAGAGCATCCTGCAGGTGAATCAGGAACGGACACGCAAGAAAGACCCTCAGGTACCTAGTCCGAAGGCAGCTCCGAAGATATGAGTAGTGTACAAACTGAATGCACAAGCGCGCTCAGATGCTAGAAACCAGGCGGTTCGTTGCCTTCACCTTCCAGTTCCATCGACTCCGCCGCGGTAATCGACGCATAGGAACTACCATGAGACGTTACAGATGTTGCGGGCAAAGGTAAGTGACGATGAAAACCTTGTTGCCGCAGTAGGCGGCAGAGTTCATGATAACGATGATCATCATTTGCAGGGGATTCACCTACATGGAATATTAGCAAAGATGACAAAAAGAACGGCAGAGCCCTTTACCTTTCCAAGGAGAGCGCCATATGAGATGAGGACTGCGACGACTCCATACTGCGCTTTGATGAAGTCTGAAATCTCCAAAGCGATCTGTACGGCAAAGTTGTTTCAACCATGAGGAGCTTTCGAGTCTCATGTACTGACCTTGTCCGAGAAAGAATTGCACGTGCAAGCCAGTGCCCGCAGGTTGTTTTCGAACCTGACAGGAAGTCATGAGTGTGTGGGAGGAGGAATTCGCTCTCTTCTTACTGAGAAATGTCTGGATTATCACCATACGGACAACCAACCTGCTTGAATGTTTGCTGTACAGCAGACCAAAGTCAACTCCAAGAAGTGAGCCAGGGTGAGTCGTCAACCTGGAGGTAAGAGCAATGTGCGAGGGGTATCCACTGCAGCAACAACCCGCACCATTCCTGGTGGAAAGTGAGGAGTAAGAAGATTTGAACTCAGACTTCACCTGAGCCAGGCAACCCATGAGGAACGACATTCCCAGCGAAGTATATGCGTATCTGGCAACAGGTCAAGGCATCTTAAACTTTCTCTGCAGTTGAGATGAATCACTTGCGCAAGTATGTCATTGTAAGACACATCCCCATGTATGAGTACATGTTCAGATCGAACATGAAAGAAAGATCGGGCTAAAAAAGTGACTTCAGTGAACGTGGGAATGTCCGTCCGAGCTGACCTGTCCATATTGATATTCTTGAGGCGCTGGAGTAGGTTCCCTTAGTGAAGCTTCCCTGAGAGGAGCAATGAGGAAGAAGGAGGCAGAGTAGAATGGAAGAAGCGCTACAAGTCCAATTGCTTTTGACGCGCCGTGTCAAGTTTCTGTTGATCGCCATAGCCGTCGTGGAAGGTCAAGATAGAGTAAGCAACGATGAGAAGAATCTAAAACACGAGGCGTCAGGCAAACAGGAGCCATGGCGACTGCGAAGAGTGCTTCGAGGAGAACCTGTACGGTTGCAAGGGTAACGATGAACGCGTTGATCCTTATAGCCATGGTTGATTACACTTTGTGTTGATTGCTGTGTTAATCCATCCGAACAATCAATCTGCTTGCACACCGCTTAGAAGGCTGTTGCCAGTCTTTCAGCTACACTAGAACCAAGTCATGCCCTCTCTCCTCTACCGCACACATCATCCTACTTGATCTCATCATCGTGCACAACAGCCACTGAAACGCACTGCGCTGCTCCATGTAGACTGCTCGTCACCATCAACGCATTCCATCACTCTTCCCCTCTTCTCTGCATCTCTCCTTCCCTGTTCTCAACTGTGGCTCCTCCTCTGCCCCGTCTCAGTGCCGCCCTCCCGTCGCCCTCCCGCCCATCCCCCATCGCGGCGAAGAGACGGCTATTGCCATGGAGCGGTGGGAGAACAGATTTGTCGACACTCTCATAAAAAACAATGTTCTGGTACGCTCGTTTGACTTTTTTTTAGATTTGTACCGTGTGCCCTTGCCTCTGTTCGCCCGGGACTGTGGGTGTGGTCCTTCAACATCAAAATTAAATGAGGTTTGCAGGAACTCCGGCTCCCGGGCGGCGGCACCCAAGTTCAACTTGGCAACTGGCCGGCTGTACTAGTACTGGGCCGTTAAGGCTCGAGTCCGACTGACTGAGTCGAGCCGCAGCTGCCACCAGTGAGCGGCCTCGGAGCCCGGCCTGTTGCCCACGGCCCGTTCACCTGAGTGTGGCACTCACTGCGGCAGCCCGGCGGCCGGGCCGCCCGGCCGGCCCGGGGCCGGGCCCGGCCGGCTGCTTGCAAGATCATACTACTAGGCTATGATCCGAGTATCAATGCGAGGATGACAATCAGCCTTACAGGCTAGTAGCCCTCAATCATTCTACTAGCAGACCGCTCTGAAAGGATGCAGGCCGATGATACTGGGCCCGTGACCGTACCGTCAGCCGGCACTGTCAGCCTCCGGCGGCCCGGCGGCCGGCCCTCAGGGCCTACTAGGCTGGTTGAACTGAAGTTGAATCAGCTTCGGCGCTTAAAAATCCTGAGCCTCGGAGTGCGCGCACCGGTGCCGCTCAGCGCCTGCCCCCCGGGCCCGCCGGTCGCGCGCCGGAGCAGAGAGTCACCGAGTCACTGGCCGGACCCGGGCCCGGCGGGGTGCCAGCCGCTGAGCCGCATCATGCGGCTCCGGCGAGTGGATGCCTCTGGCCCCGACCGTACAGTGACAGGCCCGGCGCCGGCGGCCGCTGGCCCGCCAGCGGCCGCCCCGGCTTTCCGAAGGCGGCACGGTCCGATCAGTGTTGTATGAGTGGTACTAATTTTTACTTAATCATTGAATTTTCACGGATGCGGCGACGGTGGTCCTACTTGAAGTTGCCCAGCTAGGGCCTGTGGTCCTAGCATAATAGTACACTAGTATCATGCGGCCTCGTTTCGTAACCCCCTCCTTGGAAGTTAACTTCTCTTGGGGGACCTGTGGTCCTATCTGCTCCCATAGCTCCCTAGGACTAAGTTGAGCAGGACGAGGGGATTTACAAACAGATTGATCGGGGAGCCTCTCCGCGAGCATGTCCACCGTCCTGGCCCTCCCTCGCATCCCCATCCTCCTTCTCCTTGTCCTCCTCCTCCTCTCTACATGCAATGCTGCAAGCAAATGCTACCTCGCTACCCAGGATATCACCCCAGGTGAGCATTGCCAGCTGCCTTGGTCGTCCTCGTGACATGAGTATGCGATCAGCGAGCTGCGCGAAGATGACGGTGACCTTTGGGAGCTGCGAATCACAGGCAACCGCCGACACTACTGTCAAGGCATTATCTTCGGCAACCATCGCAGCAAACACTACTGCCTGCTTGGCCATGATAGACTCGAGCTGTGGATTCCTGGTAAGACACATGTCGCAGAAGTGCGATGACGAATGGCCTTGAATGGTTGTTGACAGACAAGGAAAGCCACGACTTGCGACCCTTATTGCACTCTGTCAATTGCCAACAACATCGCAGTAGGCTGCAGGACTGACGCGCAGTGCACGTCAACTACCTCAACATTCAAGGCCCCTCTGTGCTGCAGCTACAGGAAGAAATTGTATGGCGAGATGTGCGTGGACGCCAACGGCATGCTAGACACAATGATCGCTAATTCGAAGACAAGCGGTGAATGCAGCGATGCGGCAGGCTGCATCGACTCTCTCAGCGTGGCGAGCACCACGAGCACCACCAGCCCGACTAAGAGCGCAAGCCCTTCAGCATACAGCTTCGCATCCCTGCCCCTGGTTCTCTTGGTTGCAGCTGTGGGTGTGGTGAAGAGCAGCACTGGCATGTAGTAGCAAGAGAAGGTCCGTGGCTGGTTTCCTGCCGGGTTCTGCTTGACCGCTGATGCAACTTCGCGAGGAAGCAGAGGTTGTCTGCATTTGAGCGGGGTAGAATCATCGAGTCATAATAAACCAAGTCCAACTCTGATCGGCAACAAAGCGATTCCTCATAAAACCTGAAAAAGGTAACGGCATGTGTTGTCACACCCCGAGGCTTTACAGGATGAACCTTCAGCGTAGCTCAACAACAGCTTGCGCTGGAATTTCTCTACTAAGAAGAAAGCAGTCTGACAGAAAGAGACCTATCTCTCTTTATTCTGACACAACGAACAAAACAAACACAACAAGCCAACACGCACTGGCGAGGCAGAAACAGACGTGGCACACACACGAAAGGGGAAGATCACCAGCTAGTACTGACTAGGATGACCCTTTAATAGTTTCGAAGGAGACAGAAGTACCGTCTCTTGGCGGCTGAGGGAAGTAGGGGTGTTCTGTCCTTGGAAGTTGACAAGCTTCTCTCTTTAGATGTTGAACATTCCTTCAGCACTTCGCAGGCCAGCAAGGCTGCTTCCAACGGGTTGAACTCCACAACTTACGGTTAGATTCATCCCGGTGTCCAGTTCCGCTTGTTACTTAGTAAGCAACCACGGGTACACCGTCACTGTTCCTCAGCGGCAACAAAGACCTCCAGAGGGGTCCTTTTCAGCAGATTCACACAGAAGTAGAGTATCCAGGTTTATCCTCACAGGAGAAGTGATTTTCGAACACGGCCGCTGAGTGGACCCCCGAGTCCGATCACTGTCACTGGGCCACGGTCGGAGTACGGTCCGATCACGGGCCCGGGCCCGGGGGCCCGGGCCGGGCCCGGCGGCGTTACTAGTTAGTATTTTGAGGCGGCCCATCACGAAGGTTACGATAGTTGGAGAGGGGGTAGGGTAATAAGAAAGAGCGGATCTAAGCTTGAAAAAAGTGGGTACACGATGGGAATGTTTGGGGTGGTACATTGTGGGGTGGGGTTAAATGTTGAGGGGTCGGGAAGAGAGGGGAGAAAATGCTGCAGAAGGGAAAAGCAGGAGTTAGGCAGCAGGAAGAGCAAGGGAGGGATGATGGAGGAGGAAAAGGAGAGAGAATGGGTGGATTCTAGGTGATTTCTGGTAGAGAGAGTAGGATGCTGTGTAAGTAGCAAGGAAGGGGAGGACTTGATGTCGATTCCTGTAGGAGGGAGGGATACCTGTCCCTACCTTGAACCAGACTTCAGTTTTTGTCCCCTTCGACTGTATGCGATTGACGGACAAGGAGGGTGAAGTAGTCGTCCACTCAATATGTACCGAGAGGCGAAAAGTACTCTTTGAGGGACGGTGGTTGTGGGCAGCATTAGCAAGAATTGTACTAGAGGAGCATTGGTAGCGCTCTATCGCAAGGAACTTTGCTGACATCTGCCTTTGCCTTTCTATTCTACAGCCTTTGCCGGGCGTTCTGCTTTAGCCTGCTTTCATGATCTTCTTGTGAAATGGACATCGATGGCCAAAGTTCGCTTTACGCTGACAACTGCAGCCAAATCTGGGAAGTGATCCGGGCAGGGCAACTATCGGCCCTGACTGACAGCGGTGCGTCTGCGATCCGACACTGGGAAGGGCTTGTGTGCTGACATCAAGGATGTGACGGCAGATGACCTCTACCCGTACCTTCCTCTTCTTTCCCGGATCGCCCTGGCGCATGAGCTCCGGCCGCAGGTGTAGCGTGCTCGAGTCGCAGTGTCCCAGCGGTGACGCCATGGTGTGTCAGGATGAAGGACCATTTCCTGGGCTGGTGACGAAGCTCCAGCGATACAAGGACGCGGACAAGTGCCGGTCTTATGCATTGTTGAAGTGGCACGAGCTGCTCCAGCCTGTCAAGTCGCAGATGCTGGAGGTCAAGAGGGTAAGGCAGGTTAGTTGATGTATGTATGTTGTGATGATGAAGCTAGTTGATCGGCTCGTCGACAACTGAGCAAGCTGCCGAAACAAGCACCATGGATGTTGAGGAGGAGAATCTGGCACAGACCCTCGGGCATGGTCTAGTCACTGAGTATGAATGCAGCAACGACTCTCGGTCAGTCAAGTCTCGATGCTTTCCTGCTTGGGATGTCACTGATTTTCCAACCTGCTTGCTCTCAGGCGCATGCAGATCCTGGTCTCAGAGCTAGCGCGGCTGGTCAAAGAAGACTTCACACATAAGGCTCCGGATCTTCGAAGTATGCTCCTCTCAAAGGAGGCTATCCAAGAAGACCTCAAGCTCATGCTGCCATTCGCCTTGTACAGGTTCCGCCTCGCCTGCTGTCTTGAAGTCATTGAATGACTTGATCCTGCAGATGTTCATTATTCTTTAACGTGGAGTCCGTCGTGAAAGCTCTACGGCAGGTGAGCAGATTTCTCGGCCGTTCAGCTGTCTTTGATGTTGTCACGTCAGGTTGACGACAGGCTTGTTCTAGTCAAGTCCGTCGTCTCCAACTGTCCTTCAAGTGTGGAGGGCATCGTTTCGTCGCTTATCGATCAGATCTCTCAAGGGTCCAGCCGTTATTTTGCAAGGAACAGTCAGCCCAAACCGCAGGCTCCACTGTCCAACAAGCAAGACTCTGCACCCGACCCCGACTCGCAATGGTTCTCAGCCCTCTGGCTGATCTCTGCTTACTAAAGCGCCGCAGGTGGTCCAGGGTGTTGGAGCATGTGGCCAGCCTATCACTTGCGAATGCGCGGAGAGTACGACAAGAGCTGATGGTGAGCATTTATGACGCAGCGGGAGAAAGCTCCTCATCCGTTTTCACAGAATGCCACTGTCCTCCCTGAACTTGTGATGTCGATTACGGTACTCATGGTCAAGGACTCTCTTGCCTTCCTCCTCAGCCACACGCACGGGCACGAGTGGCTATGGGAGTACATCCACTCAACTCTTTCCACGGATGCAGTCGCAGTGAAGAGCTCCAACGGCTCCCCAGGCCAGCTTGCGGTCTACAAGGTTCTCCCTGCCTCCTCCCTTACCTTATCTCCAGCTCCATCCTCTCTTCTATCTCTTCTCTAGGGCTTCCCTCCGCTCCCTTCCCTTCCTCCTGCTTCATCCTCTCTCCCCCTTCTTCTCCCTGCTTCTCTACCCCTCCCTTTCTCCGCTCCCTTCCCCTCCTCCTGTCCCCTCCTCTTCTTCTCACCTCTGCTACCCTGACTGGGCTTGACTGGGCTTGGTTCCTGACAGCTTTTGAGCGCAATGTCCAACTCGCTTTCAACGGTTACCAGGTCCTCGTTCCCAGCTGCCCTCAAGCTCCTCACTCTTCTTGCAGCAGCAGCACGCCCTCTAGCGACCTCGGCATCCACAGCCCGGACCAGAGCTCTGACGGGAGGAAATCTGCGACCGTCATGGCTGACTGCGACGAGGATGTTGAGGTTCTGGGGGATCATGGGGCCGCCGGCCTCCTCAAGCTCTACTGCGCCATGGTGGGCGATCCCTCGCTTGCTGCCGCTGCCTCCTGACTAGCGTCGTCTCAGATCGCTCTTGGCTCCATGCAGCCAAGCTTGCAGGAGGTTCTTGGGAGCTCTGCGCTGCCAGTGCATGGGTAAGGAGGGAAGGAAGGACACTAGGGTTGCTGACCGTAGTCCTGCAGCAACGTCGCCAAAGCGCAGGCGGGCCTGTTTTACATCCTCTGCCGGGGTCGAGCTGGGGGTTTCCAGGAGGCAGAAGGAGCAGAGGGCAAGGGAGCGGGGAGGATTTTCAGCGGGGAGGAAAGGCTCCTCGCCTTCTGCGCGCTGATCCTCTGGCCCCGGCTCAAGTCAGTGATCCCCCAGCACGTGGTGACTGCGTCCATCAAGAGCCTGTGGAACGCTAGCTCGGCTCCAGCTGTGCCCAAGGCAGATTCGTCCACGAGGTCGTCTCCCCTCGCTTCTCCGACGGCAGCTTCAGCTGGGGAGTCGCTGGGAAGCTCTGGGGGGGTACAGGATGGCAACGAGGCCGTGAACTCCACGCAAATGGCGGTCGAGCCGGGATCGCAGGGAGGAGGGGGGACAGCAGCAGCACCAACAGCAGCAGCAGGGGTAGGGGTAGGGTTAGGGGGTGCCACAGAGTGTGGAGAGGTCGACGACGTGACGATCTTGCTAAGCTTGTTCGTGACGAGGGATCTGGTGGCGGTGGGGGAGCTGGTGCGAACTGCGACGGGCCTGTCGTGCCACGTGCAGGGCGAGTCGTTGAACAAACTTGCGGACATGATTGCGGAGGGGACGGACGTCAAGCAGCTGTCAAGAGCTGTCCTGGGGTACGAGAGCTCGGTGGAGGGGAGCAGCGGACCAGGCGGCGTCTCCCCCCTGAAGGAGTCGAGCATGAGGGAGAGCGCGAGGATCCAATGCGTCTACTCGCTTGCGCGCGACGGCAAGTTGATATCCTCAGTCCAGGTGGGCAGCTGAAAGTCTCCCGTTGATCCCCCTGCTGGTTTTCCTGACTCCTTGCCGTCTGCTGCTGTCGTTTCGTTCCTGCTGCTGTTCCTCCTTATCTGCTGCTGTTCTTCCTGTCCCGTTAACCCTCGGCTGCTATTCTTTCTTACCTCTTCCCCTCCAGGACGGGGAAAGGTTCAACCGATGGCTGCTGCACGTGATGGGAAACGCGCCGTTCCCCCTTCCCAACGTCCTCCCGCAGGTGAGACGCCGAAAGTCTCTTGCTCCTCCTTCTCATTTCTCCTTCAGCTACTCGAAGAATCTGCAAAGATGGCATGCATGGAGCGATCCAAGGCAAGGGCCTGCCCTCCTCCTCGTCCTCATCCTTGTCCTCCACTGACCTCGATCTCGACCTCGACCTCGTCCTCATCCTCGTCCTTGTCCTCGACTGTCCTCGTCCTCGTCCTCGTCCTTGTCCTCGTCCTTGTCCTCGTCCTTGTCCTTGTCCTCGTCCTTGTCCTCGTCATCCTCCTTTAGCATCTCGTTTCCATTCTTAATGCCCCCTTTGTCGTCCTGCTCCTAGTCCCACTTGTCCTGGTCCTCTTCTTGGATCTAGACTTGTATTCTCCCCCCCGTCCTCCCCTCCTCTCCCTCACTTGTTCTCGCTCACCTCCTTTCCTCGCAGGTTGTGGGACTCCCTCTCCCTGCTCTCAAGAGCCTGCTGGAAGCGCGCGAGTCAGAGTTGCTAGAGGGAAGGGAGATGTCCAGCTCGGACCAGAGCAAGAGCAAGTCCACAGGAGCGATCCTCGCTGCCTACTACCTCCTGAGCAGGAGGTCGCAATGGATCTCCAAGCAGGTGGAGTCAGGAACGCGCCGCAGGCAACTTCCTCCTCGATCCATGGCTATTCGAAGGTTTTACAGCTCTTGCTCCCCCTTTCCCCCCTCTTCCTTCTCTCCCTCCCCTTTTCACCCGTCCTGTTCGTCCTCCTAGCCCTCTTTGTCCTCCTCCCCCAGCTTTCTTCTTTCTCGTCATCCTCGCCTTCTCGCCTTCTCGCCCCCTTACCAACGTGCGCAGAATGCAAGATGAAAGAGGAGCGATCGGACCGGAGATGGTAGGGCATGCTTCAGGAGGCGGGGAGGGGAAGGAGAAGCAGAGGAAGAATAAGACTACATATGTTGTTGTTGTTGTTGTTGATGATGATGATGATGAAGAAGACGATGATGATGATGATGATGAAGAAGAAGATGATGATGATGATGAGGAGGAGGAGGAGGAAGGATGAGGGAGGAGGAGGAGGAGGAGGAGTGACTTGCCAACAGGAAGCGATGGTGGCCATGCTGCCTCTCAAGGTCTACCTGCAAGAGATCGAGCAGGGAGGGTATCAGGCCATCCAGCCGCAGTTCCTGCAGATGGTGAGGACCCTTCCTGCCGCCTCCTCTCCTCCTCCTTCTCCTCCTTCTCTTCTTTCTCCTCCTTCTTCTCCTCCTGCTCCTTCTCCTTCTCCTCCTCCTTATCCTCCCCTTCCCTCTCCGCCCTCGCCTCCTCCCGCGTATTCCGCTCTTCTCCACCCCCCCCTCCCCTCCTCCTCTTCTCACCTTTTCCCGCAGGTTGTTGAGCAGTTCCCCGAGGTCCTCCTCGACTCTCATCGCTCCATCGCCTCTGTGGGAACCGACCCGACGCTTCAGGACGCACTCAAGTCCTGCTCCTCTTCCACCACCTCCTCTTCCTCTTCTTCCGCTCCTGCCTCCTCGCTCCTCACTCCTTCTCCCCCCCTTCCCTTCCCTCTCGACCACCGCAGGGCAAGGAACGCCTTCCTCAACTACTCCAGCAACCCTCAGGCCTGCCTCCTCATCCTCGACGTCCTCTCGCGCCTGCCTGACGGCGAGCTGGAGCAGTTCGCAGGTCGCTCGCGCTCTTTCCCTGCTCCTCCTCCTGCTGACTCCGAGCTCAGGCCTCCTCCTCATGATCCTCCTCCCTCGCATGCTCGTCCAGCAGGTGTCGGGCAGCACAGACCAGTCAGCCCAGCCCTCCCCCAGCGTCATCGCTCCCCTCTTCGAGGCCCTGTGGGATCGGCTGCTTGCTCGACATCCCTGCCCCATCGTCGCCAAGACCTCCTACTCCCTCCTTCACTACAAGTCCCTCGTGGCCTGCGAGGAGGACGCGTCCATCAGCTCGGACAGCCTCTTCATGGGATGGAAGTGCTGGGGTTGGGGGGCTCCCGAGCTGGGCAGGTTGACAGGGAGGGTGTTCGACATCAACACGAGCGGGCTGAGCGGAGGAGAAGCGTTTGAGTTCTCCCTGCTCTCCTTTCACGAGTCGCTGTCAAGGTAGGACGAGGGCGAGGAGAAGCAGGAGGAGCAGGGGGCCGGGAAAGGTAGAGGAGAGAAGGGGGAGAAAGGGGATATGATGCGATGCATTGAGAAAGGGAGGAGCGGGAGGAGGGAGGGAGAAGGAGGAGGAGGAGGGAGGGAGAGGGGGAGGAGGGAGGAGAACAAGAGGGAGGGGAGCCGCTCAGTGCTTTCACAGGGATGTATTGACGATCTTGTCGATCGACGACCACATATTCCACGAGCCTTCTCTGCTCCGAATTGTCTTGAGCTGCCTGGCTCTCTATCAGACGATCAGCGAGGTAGGGGAAGGTGATGATGATGATGATGACGACGACGACGATGATGATGATGATGCGGAGGGGGAGGAGGAGGAAGGAAGAGGAGAGAGGGAGATATTTGATTTTGCGAGCAGATCAGTTTTGATCATGAAGTCTCCAAGTCGCAGAAGATGGTTGATTTTCTCTCCCTCCCTCCCTCCC